CCAAACAAACTCGCTCCCAAGTTCCAGCAGAACATTTAGGAAATATGTGTTTTTCTTTCCTCTTCAGGATCTCATCAGGCAAGGTTTCCCCTGAGCCATCACTATGGTTGATCCCAGTCTTGGAAAGTGAATTCAGTGAAAGATGATCAGCAGAGGTGATCCACATGTTGAATTTTCACTGAGGCAAATTAAGGACATGTAAAATTCAAATGTTTATTCATTTACATTTCATCTGCTGAAATCAGCATTTTAGTTTCTTTGGAAGAGCAAAAAAAAAGAGCAGAATATAGGTCTGTTTACTGTGAGCTTCCTGTGGTGAGTATGTGGATTTTGTGTATTGGAGAATCTTGCCATTCATTCCTTGTTAACTGAAGTAGTTTTTTTCTCACACTAAAAATGTGGAAGTATTTCATTTGGTTAAGTCAGCCAGCTAGTTCTGAGATCTGGGAATACTAGYTGACCAGAATGACAAAGGCTCACAAAAGAGAATTTTATGAATTTTAAAGGCAAAAATTGGGGCTGGGATTGTGGCTCAGCAGTAGAGAGCACGTTACACCTAACATGAGTGAGTTCCTCAGTTTGATTCTCAGGACTAAGTATAATTTAAACAAAGGTATTGTGTCTACCTACAACTAATATATGTGTGTGTATATGTGTGTATATATATATATATATATATACACAAAATTAACTATATATATATATATATATATATTAAAAACTGAGGGATTATTTATTGTACTGTGTAAATAACATGAGGAAGAAGACGTCTGAGAATAATTGCTGGAGTCGAGTCATGTAATTCTTTGTGGGTTTTTTATTTACTTAATTGTTTGGGGGGTAGGTATTTCATAAATACATGAACTGGAAAAATCAGAAGATAGAAATTCTCCTGTAGACTGAGGTAAGGATAAAATACTTAGCTTTTACTGATGTATTGAAGGATCTAAAACAAATGGCTTGGGTTGAATCCCCAACAATCTGATTAGAGAAGGTATGTGACTTCTGAAACTAAATTTTCAGAGGGCTACAGTTGGAAACTCAGAAAGTTCTTCTATTAACAATATTATGGCCCCCTAATATGAAAATAAACAAACAGTAAGATGGAATAAAGCAATATTTTAGGGTGATGGCAGATTTCCATGACCATGATTGCATACTGTTTGTTCTCTGTGGTGCTAGACATCAAACCCAGGGCTTCACACATGGTAGAAAAACCTTCTACCATAGAACTATACTCATTGCCTCAGTTCGTTTTAAGTTATAATTTTCCTTTCATGATGTTGATTTGGGGGCTGCATGATGTGCTATCTTACCAGAAATATATTGCATGATCAAGTATATAACTAAAGAGATGAACTTTTTTCCAACTCAGCTATTAACTATGTAGAAAAATACTAATATTGTTAGTAAAACACTATTCTTTAGAGAATGGGGAGCTACATGAACAGTTCTTACTTGGTCAGGAAGGATGCATGCATATAAAGATTGTCAGAGATTAACTTATTTTTGCATAACAATGGACAAAAATCAACATATTAATTACAATGTTTTAAAATAATTAATAAGCCTAATTGCCATGCCTGGTTATTTTACATGTTCTTCATGACAATGCAAAATAGCTCAACAACAACAGGTGATTGAAGAAATGGAAAAGCTGGTGGAGGGGGAACAAAGGAACAGGACAACAGTGTATGAGTTCATTCTGGAGGGGTTTCCTGCAGTCCAGCACCTGGGTCACCTCTTCTTCCTGGTGCACTTGCTTGCATATCTGACCTCCATCATGGGAAACATGCTCATAATCACAATAATCTGGGCAGACCATCGTCTCCAGACACCTATGTACTTCTTCCTCAGCAATTACTCCTTTATAGAGTGCTGCTCTATAACCTCAGTTATTTCAAAATTGCTGACCATCTTTCTGTCAGGGAGACAAACAATTTCCTTTGCTGCCTGCTTCACACAAGATTTCATCTGTCTTTTCCTTGGAGCAACCGTATTCTTTCTTCTGTCTGTGTTATCCCTGGACCGATACCTGGCTATTTGCAAACCTTTGCATTATCCCACTATCATGA